TACCACTCTGGGAGGCCCAAGCGGGTGGATTGCCTGGACTCAGGAGTTCAAGACCAGCCTGAGCAACAGTGAGACTCCCCCCTACTAAAAATAGAAACACTAGCTAGGCATTGTGGAGGGCGCCTATAAATCCAGCCACTTGGGAGGCTGAGGCAAGGGGCTTGCTTAACCCCAAGTGTTTGAGGTTGCTATGAGCTATGATGACGCCCCACCCAGAGGGACAGAGGGAGAGACTCTGTCTCAAAAAATAAAAAATAAAGACATCAGATTCTGTTTGCGAAACCGAAGTCACTCAGTTTTTGGAGACACAAGTACGAAAAAAGGTAAGAGAGAACATCTGGAGAGCTGGCAAGGAAGGCTGTTGCAGAGTGAGCCAGCGGAACCCTCAGAACCCTCGGAGTTCTGGACACGCTGTCTACCTCCTGTAGAGGGGAAGGCAGGCGGGTGGATGGGGAGTGCTCTTTTCAGGCAAGATGGTGAGGTTTCTTTACCTGAGCCCTCCTCCTGCCAGCTTGCCCCGCTGGGGACTCTGCAGCCCACGCCCTCTGCCCTCTGAGAGTCTGGAACTAGCAGTGTCTGAGCTTGTTCACACAGGGGGCTGTTTCTGGTAATTTCTCACTGTGTGAGTCTTCACATTCCTTCTCCCCCCTTCATTTCGGTTCTGTAAAATCGCCTCCCTGTTTTGATTTGTATCATCCTTTGATGAAAAGGAAAGTTCTTGTTTTGTGGGTACCTACTGTGTGCTGTGCTCTGGTACCTGACAAAGGTCCTCTTACTCAGTCTTTTGAAGGAGGCCTGGGGAGCGGTGGGGGAGGGCGACGTCCCTCTTTATTTGAACATATGGAAACTCAGAAGAGAAGAACAATTGCTTCAGAGCCTCACAGCCATTATGGTGCAGAGCTAGGATTAAAATTGAGATTACATCTGATCCAAAGTGAAAAACTATGTTCCTTCTGTATCACACCCCTTTCTGATGTTAACCTGCACCAGGCGGATTCCATCTGCTCCCATCCTGTGAGCCAGCCCAGCTCAAACACGGGCTGCTTTTGAATTCAGAGAGGCTGTTCTTAGCTTTTCTAAAGGAGGAGATTTTTCCTCTTGAGAAACAACCGGTTCTGTTTGTTTTAGTTGCTGTTGGTTTCTTTCCCTTTCCCCTCACCCCCCAGATCTCCCTCTGCTTCCTTTCTCTCTCCCCCTACCTCCTCCGCCCCAATTAGCAAGAAGAATATGCTTCATCGTATCATGCAACTCTTGCTCATATTTTTTTGCAGACCTGCCCTTTCTGATCGGTAGTCCTAGGTCAGAGGACAGCTGTGAATCCACCAGATGACAAGGATGTGAACAGTGTGGGGGTGAAGGGATAGGCTTGGAGCCTGAGCATCCGAGTTCCAATCCTGACTCTGCCCTATATTTACCGTGTTGACAGGAGCAAGTTGCCTGACCTTAGTAGACCTCAGTTTCCTCATACAAAATGCAGGCAATAACAGGCCCATCCTACGGAGTGTTGTTGTGGTACGTGTAAGTTTACTGTCTGGCCCCAGGGAAGCAGACACTGTTCCCTGCCACATTACTGATGGGGATTGTTCATTCAGCGAAAGTTCATTGACCACGCTTAGCAGAATAAACAGGAGTCCTGCTACTGTGGAACTTGTATTCAGGTGGGGGAGAGAGGTACTAATAAGGAAACGACTACTGAAACAGGGGGTTTCAGGGTGATGAATTAAATATTCCAGTGGTGTGCTAGTCAATGGCTAACATCTAATTTTCCAGGAGAAAAAAAAAGCACCGATTCATAGTATTTGTCAATATTTGTGGTATAAATATTTTCACCATGGTTAGGAATAGGCATACCAAAGTGACCCAAGTGGTGTCAGCTGGCTCTTAAAATTCCTGAAAATTTAACAATTGGTTCTTGCAAGGCCAAAAGAGCTGGCTTGAAAACTGGGTCTATGTAAATAATATGGTTTGGGGAGTGGGGAAGGGGAACCTGAGGTTCTGAAAAACAAATATACTAGTTAGTAGAAGGGTATCCCAGGTAGAGAAAATGGCTGGTGCAAAGACCCTGGGGTCAGAAAGGGCTTGGTGCGTTCAGGGACTGGGAGGATGGGCTGCTGTCAGAAGAAGCCTAACTGAGTGGCAAAAAAGGCAAGGGCTTGGCTTTTAGAAGCCAAGTAGACCACAGTATGGAGTTCGGATTTCATTCTACGGTCACAGGAAGTCATTGCAGGGTTGTAGGCAGGGCAATGTCTAGATCTGACTTGTGTTTTTAAAAGATCATTGAGCCATTTGATGAAAGACCAGTAAGAGGCAAGTTGGGCCATGCCGGATACCCCAGGAGAGGTGATGGTAGCTTGGGTGGATGTGCCAACCGGGAAGAAGACAGAAGTGGCTGGATTCGGGTAGAGCTGTGGGGACGTGACAGATGTTATCTCCAGCTACTCCCAGGCTGTTTACCTTGAGTGCACGCAGCATGCGATTTCTGCTTTTCTGTCAGCAGAGGAGGAAGTAGCCTCAGACTCACACCATCGGGGCTCACTCTCCATCCTGCCTCCTTTTCTTCTTGATATCACCACCTGATACCTCCAGGAGAGGAGATGAGGAAATATGTTTGTCTTGGGCCCAAGGGCAAAGCAACAACAATGAAACCCGAATCTCTTCTCAATGCCGCCCCTCCTCCTTGGGAGTTTTGTCACTGAGAACTGCACCTGTTCTTCAGATAAGAGGCCGCTAACCTGGATTTCCACCTGGTCCCAGGGCTGTCTCCTGGTGTGTATCAGGCACTAATGCAAACGTCTGGCAGGTTATGAAAAAGGTCATTAGCTCTGTTCCACACCCGGCCAGTCTGTCTGTGCAGTTTTTAGAAGGGGGCATGGGAACTCCATCTTTTGGGACCAGCATCGTCCAATAGAACTTTTTATGGAGATGGAACTGGTTTCTTTCTATCTGTGCTCCTCATTATGGGAACCACTAGCCACGTGTGGCTTAGGAGCACTTGAAACGTGGCTTGTGTTGAGAACCGCTGTACTAAAGTTTTGCAGAACTTGGGGATCTTAGTGAGTTGTCACTTGTCATAGCCTCCCTCAATTTGCAGGAAAGGAACAGAGGCACAGAAAAAACGATTTGCCTAGTGTTTCCCTGCTGAGGAGTGACAGAAACTCATCAGCTCAGTGCCCTTTTGTCTTTTATTATGCATATATTTTAAACCAATGTTAAATTTCATAAGTTCTCGGGAATACTTTCTTCTTTTCATGTAGAGGTGTCCAATCTGTGGCCCATGGGCCGCAGGCAGATTTTTTGAGGACTGTTTTGCTTATCCATGCTGCTAGATGCTATGAAAAGGATGCATGGACTTTTTTTGCTCATCAGTTTTCATTCATGTTTGTGTTTTTACCATGTGGCCCAAGACAACTCTTACTCTTCCAAAGTGTGGTAGAAAAGAAAAAAGTTGAACACCCCTGGGAGTGTCCAGCTTTCTCAATCTTGAGCACTTCCTCAGTTCTTAGATGCACTCATGTTGTGGTCATTTGGGAGCACATGCTTTCACACCTTTCCCTATCTCATTTATATGTGTATAAATGGATGGTAGAAAACATTTCTGCATTGTTTCGTCAAGTTGTGTCACTCCATGTGTAGTTTAACACACATTTCTTTTCTAAAAGTGTGTTCTAGGTCTTCCTGAGTCCATTCATGGCCCTGTACCTTACTATTTTTATTTTTTTTTAACACTCTTAGTGTTTCGTAGCCTGGGCATGCCACGTTAGTCATCAGGCTATTGATTTAACTCATTGTTCATGATGCAAACGTTTTTGTACATACCTCCTGTACGCAGTGTTTCTCTTGAGGTGTGTACTGAGAAGTGGAATTACTGAGTCAGAGAGTATTGATTTATTTGTGTGTATTTTTATTGGAGCTCCTGCTCCAATAACTCTTTACACCAGTTTATATTCCTATCAGCTACATGGGCTTTTTCTCCTACAGTCTCCAAAATATTTAATGTTATCAAACGTCTACCTAGTGTGCCAATCTAATGGGTATCTCATGGTTGTTTAATTTGCATTTTTTCTGTTTCCAAGTCAAATTGAACATCTGTCCTATGTTAATGGGCATTTGTTTTTCTGTGAACTTCCTGGTCAAATATATTGCCCATTTTGTTTTTTTTTTCTGTTGGATGACTTTATTTATTCATTAGCAAATATGTACTAGAATGTCTCCTATGTGATAAGCGTTATTCTAGTTGCTAGGGCCTTGGTGGCAAATTAAATACACAAATTTTTCTGCCCTCAAGGAGGTAACAGTTTAGTTTTAAGAAAAAGACCTAGGCAAAAATGGATCAGGAAAATATATAGTTATGTTAAATCAGATAAAAAGAAAGGGAAAAATATAGGGAAAACCTTTGGGAGTAGGGCTCAATTTTAAGTAGGCGGGCCAGGAAATCCTGTCTTTTACTTAATCACTTGTAGACACTTTATATTGTATGTGCTAATCTTTTGCCTATAAATAAATAGGTTGTGCCTATTTTCTTCCAGTTTTTAATTATCTTTTGACTGAGGTTATAATGCCTTGGTCTCACTGTTTTTTTAAATGATAAAATCATTGTTAATTGGAATATAGTCACATAGAAAGTGGAAGTTCCTCTGATTTTCCCAGGTGACTATTGGCAAGAGCTCTGTGCCTGTCCTTTCAGATTATTTTTTATTGTCACTGCAGTGCAGTACACCTTCCAACCTCAGTCATCACTTACAGGTCGTTTCTGGCTGTTTCTCCCAAAATGCAGTTCTTTCTCATGGCTGCCTAGCAATCCACCTAGCGGGGAATCACTGTCCCTTGTCCAAGCAGGCCCCTCTGGCTGGACAGCAAGGTTCTTCCAATTCTACGTTCTTCCAGACAAAGCAGCAATCTCGTCCTCTTTCTACTGCCGATAGGTCCTCTGATCTTTTTTTGTTGGTTGGACTCAAGCCGCTGTACCCTGAAGGTTAATGATTTTGTTTTCTCCCCCCCAGCTCCATGGCTACATGGAAAATAAGCCTTTGGGGCTTCAGATCTTCATTGGGACGGCTGATGAACGGATCCTTAAGCCACATGCCTTCTACCAGGTGCATCGGATCACAGGGAAAACTGTCACTACCACCAGCTACGAGAAGATTGTAGGCAACACCAAAGTCCTAGAGATTCCCCTGGAGCCGAAAAACAACATGAGGGCAACGTAAGGGCTCGGGGAATGAGGGAAGTGGGGCTTCATGGGGCAGTAAGCAGGGTCAGTGACAGGGATTTGGGAGAGGGGACTCTACAGAGTTGATGGGAACAGTCATTGATGACAATTCTCGATCAGTGTTCAGCTGACCCATAGTGATTGCTGCTTGAAAAAGTATAACATGGAAAGATTTTCCTGTGTTTTGAAAGCATGAAAACTCAGGCATCTTTGAATTATGTTGCTTGGGATGAAGTTAAATTTATTTATGATGAAAAAATCGGTTTGACCTATGGAGTTAACACTATAGAGAGGTCCAAATGCATACAGTTAATATGCCCATACCTATGGCTAAAGTTTGGGAAACATTGCACACATGTTTTGGATTAAAACCCTGTTTTTTAATGAGAAAATAAATTCAAATTTACAGAAAACTGCAAGAAGTATACAGAGCACTGCTGAGTACTGTAATTACTCCAGGGTGCATTTCTTAAGAACAAGGATGTTCTCTCCCATAACCATGGTACACGTGTCTATTCAAGAGATTCACGGCTCTTAGCTGCTGAATGGTCTATAATCAGTATTCACTAGTTGTGTTGAGTTTTTCAGATGCTTCTGAGAATAGAAGAGTTGGCATGAAAAATCTCTCCAGGGAAGTAATTTCCACTGGGGAATTTCTCTAATTATTTTAAGTGTCTCCCCCCACTCCACACCATCTTGGTATAAACTCCTGGCTGAAATGCTTATGGGTGCTTTGTAATTCACCCCTGTGGCTGGCTGTAGGAATATTTTGGCCGTTGAAGGCAGTTTTTGTATGTGGTTTTTGCCCGTTTACGAAGATGGTGTGTTTCAAATGGGGTTCTTCAATTCCCGGCAGCATCGACTGTGCCGGGATCCTGAAGCTTCGCAACGCCGACATCGAGCTGCGGAAAGGCGAGACGGACATCGGCAGGAAGAACACTCGGGTGAGGCTGGTCTTCCGCGTGCACATCCCAGAGGCCAGCGGCAGGATCGTCTCCCTGCAGACTGCGTCCAACCCCATTGAATGCTGTAAGTTGGGCTCCGGGGCAGGGTCCTTTATGAAGTTTGCATTCCTGGCCAGCAGGAATGTGCAGGACCCACAGGGACAGAACACATGCAAGGGTTTTCCTTCTGCACCTGTGTCTTCTGGAGGGTCTTGTGGCCTCTCAGGAAATTAAATAATATACTTAGGAGTAGCCTACAGCTTTGTTTAGAAGATTCAAAATGCGTAAATATTATTCCAGTCTGACAAAGGGTAGATGCATTTGGATTGAGTTCATTGTCCTGCATGTCCCGTTTTTCTTTTCTCCCTCTCTGCTTTCAATAAGAACAACAGTGCTAAGTGCCCAGCATGCAGTGGCTCATTTAATATTCACAGCAGTCTTTGGCACTAGCTGCTCAGAGTGCCCATTTTACAGATGACAAGAGAGACCTCAGGGTGACTAACTTGTGCAGAGAACTAGAGAATGGCAGGGCTGGGATTGGAAGCAGCACTGGCACACAGGAGCCCATCCCAGCACCTGCAGCCCAGCCCTGCGTGTTCCCTGAAGCCTGTTTCCATGGCCAGCACCATGTCAGGTACTTAGGATCCCCAAGTGAGCAAGGTGCCTTTTCTGTCCTCAACTGGCTTACCCTCTGGTGAGGATAAGGAGACCCAACAGATGGTTGTAAAGTTGCAGAAGATTTTCAAAACTAGTACGAAGTGGGCGAGATCTGCCATTTGGAAAGATACTGAAGAGAAAACTGGCTTATTTCTATCAGTTTCAAAAGAAGTAAGCTTGATCTCACATCCTTACATACTTTTTAGAAGTTTTTTTTTTTTTTTTGGCCAGGGCTGGGTTTGAACCCGCCAACTCCGGCGTATGGGGCTGGTGCCCTACCCTTTTGAGCCACAGGCGCCGCCCTTTTTAGAAGTTTTGTTACTTTTTGCAATTAGATGTGACAAAGCTTACTGTCTGCTCAGCGTTTCAGGGTTTAGAAAATACTTAAAAAGCATAAAGAAAAAAAAAACTAAATATTGTTCCAGAAACAAAAACTGCTTATATGATTTTTTTTTTTAGTCACTTTCTTCTAAGAATATTTTGTCTTTTGTTGTTATAATCACGTTCCATACTATGTTGTTTTCAGGATTTTTCCCCTTTTTATTGGACATTGTCCCATAACTGGGTGTCACAAAATCAATTTCCTATAGTGGCCAGGGAGGTTGTGAAAATGAATGAAGTGGGTTGGATGGCAGGCATTAGGGAGTAGTGGGGCTTGGGGTCCAGGATGGCACATTTCCCAACTACAGGGCTACCATCCCTCAACTACAGCCAATGTTTCCATGTGGGAGTGTACACTCAGTGTGGCTGTATCCTCTGACGTTTTTAAGGAGAAACCAAAAATCTCTCGATTAAAAAAAGGCAACAGATTCAAAATATCCTGTAGGTCACACCAAGTCTGCCCGTGACTTCTGTTAATCAGAGGTAATCTTAAGACACTGGTAAGCAAAGGGAAAGCATGAATATTTTATGCAGAAAGCCCTTTGGGAGCACTTGGGGAAGGTTGGCCCTCAGCATGAGAAGCCCAAGTGGAAAGAAGGGTGGGCCTTTCTGGTCTTGGTTGGTCTTTGGAAACAAATGAAGAAGCCTTCTGATTTCTGCCCATCTCACGAGTCAAGATGAAGGTCAGGCTGAAATGGTGCTGAATTCGTACTCTGATGTTAGAGGAGAAAAAGACCCAACAGCAGATAATCAGGGAAAACAAGTGTTGAAAACCACATTTTTTGTAGAAATACCGGAATTTCCCAACTCTGTTCAGCGGACCCCACCCTGGACCCCCAAATGCTGGTCATAGTGGCTGCCCCGCCCCACTTTGGTTTTGAATATCTCAAGATATTCTGGGCAGGAGACTTGGGTTTCTTCCCCAGTGATTTAGGGGATTTTGAGCAGATAAGGTCTCCCCTTTCTGGCAAATGACATACTTTCTAGGATGGGGCTGTGGTTTGTCACAAGGTGAGGGACGGGAGGCCTGAGCAGGGACAGTGCACAGGAGCCCATGTCCCTGTCTGTCTTTGGGTTCCTCAAGACAACGTATCTTGGTCGATCTGAGATTTTAAAGATCATCACTGAACCACAGGTACCTCCAGCAAGGTCTTCAGGGTGTTAAGAAAGTTGTCTGAACCTTGGAAAAAAATTTTTTTTTCCTTTTCTTTTCAAGTATTTGGCTAATTCGTCTGCTTTGTTTTGACAGATAAAGAAACTGAGGTTTTCTTGGAAGAGTGATTCACCCCTTTTTACTTAGTAAATAGCAAACCCAGAGTCTCCAACTTTATGGTTCTATGAAATACCTTCTTCTTTTGGTTTCCATAACCCTCCCTTGCTTGCAGTACCAAGCCAAGCTAGTAATTGGTTTCTCTGCCTCTCACCCATAATCTTCTGTCGTTTGTATTTCTTTCTTTGTTCTTTTCCCCTAGACTAGTGCCTGTAAGTTCCATAAAGTTTTGATCACTTGACTTACTGTGTAATCCATAGGGAGAGACTCAATATTTATTGGCAATTAGTCGATTTCATGCATTGGCAAAGATGTGTAGAATAAATACAAATACTATTGACATTGTAAAACTATTATACCTTGCACACGAACTTTATGGACACTGTATTTATTGCCTGATGACTTAGTGTGTCTCCTTTGGGGAGAGTGGGTTGGTAAGAAAAACACTTAGTGGGCTGGTACTTATTTGCAAGGCTAACTTATTTACTTTGGAGGTGCCTTTCTGTGGCATCTTAGGGATTAAGGGTAAATTCTTAGATTTTTTTTTCAGTAGAAAACACGTGGTTTAAAGCCCTAGAGGCCACTCTTTGGAAAGTGGAGTGGTTTGCTAACAAATGCAGATGCCTTATATTTATTTACCTACCAGCTTGCCAGAGATTCAGTCTCACTTTTGCACAGACTGGCACCCCACGTGTTTCGAGTCTTCTATTTCTGCTAGGTTTTCAATGTTGCCAAGGAGATACTTCTAGTTTCCACCACTGCTCCTTCCCTTAATCTTGGGGAAGACTGTTGAAACCTTCTCCAGTCTTCCAACCCTCTGAATGCTGCCCCCACCCCCTTCCCACTCCAGGCAGATAACTGCGCTTCCCACGTCTCTGGGAACAAGGACAAGGTCAGAAGGGAACACTGTCATCTTCCCCAACAATAAGCCACCCACGGATGGCAGCTGCGGCAGTCCTCCCTCCCGCTCCCTCCGCTTGAGATGGAGCCATTCTCTGTTCCCCACTCCAGCTCAGCCTCTTGCCCCGCCCGGCCCAGGCCCTGCCTCCTGTGGGCTCCTCAGTGTTGTCAGGTCCAGCTCCTGCTTCCTTGGGGTGGTTGTGCTACCTGCTTCCCTCTGTGCAGTTCCCCAGGCTGTCCTAACCAGTGACCACAAACCAGGAGGCTTGAAACAGCAAAAATGTGCTCTCTCAGTTCTGCAGGCCAGAAGTCCAAAATCCAGGGGTCAGCAGCGTCCTGCTGGTGGCCATGGGTGCTCCTGGGCACTCCTTACCTTATGGACAATCCCTCCAGCCTCTGCCTCTGTCCTCACGTAGCTTCTCTGTGTCGATGTGTGTGTGTGTGTGTCCCTTTCTGCAGCTTATAAGGACATACATCATTGGATCTAGACCCCAATCCAGGGCAATCTCATTTCCTTATTTACCTTAATTATATCTGCAAAGATAGATTATATTTCTGCAAATATATATATTTCCAAATAAGGTACATCCTGAGGTTCCAGGTGCCCTGAAGTTTTTGGGGACGATTCATCAGCCTGCTGCACCTTGGCAGCTGCGTTTCTTCATCTCCCTTCCTGTCTGCTCCTCAGTCCCCAAATGGACTGGGACGTTTCTTTAACTTGTTGGCTTTTGCTTAAAGACAATAAGCGATTGTTACTTTCATACACCTCTACCCAGAACACAGATTTTCAAACTTAGCTGGACATTAGAGTCATGGGGGACTCTCTCTCTATAAACAAAAACATGATGCCCTGGTCCTCCTGCCCTGGAGACTCTGATTGGGCTCATCTGGGTGCAGCCTAGATGTGGAATCTTGAAGGGGCACCCCCCCCCCGCCCCCTGCCATGACCCGACTTGAGGCAGAGTTTGAAAACTGCTGACCTAGCTCCCTCCCCTCCCACTGGTCCTCAGTCGCTTGGCAAACTCCTTATCTCTGCCAGGAGCCAGTCCCCTCTTTGTGCTCTGACAACCGGTTTGCTTGGTGGTCCCTCTCTCTGCAAGATTGGACCAGCTAATGTGTGCCAGGGCCTGGTGTAGAATAATGCTCTCTAGAATGCTGGAAAATGAGAGAAGAAAAGAAGAGGGGAGAAAAAGCTGCATTGAGACAGTAAGTGTCTGTAGGCACACAGACCTGGGCCTGAGAGAACTTTCCAGAAGCTCTCCAGGCATGACTCGCAGCAGCTCCCTGCCCTGCAGCCTGGTCCTAAAGTCATTTCACACCTAGCCCTCTTCTGCCTGCCCAGAGTACAGAGTGTAAATTCACTTTGCTAATTTTGCAACAGGGAGGAGGTGGGTATGGGGCTGTGTGGGTGAGAAAATGATTTTCTCACATGCTCTTTGCCCTCTGCCTCTCTGACAATGTATATGTCTTACTGAGGCGTAATTGAGATACAGGAGATTGTGCAGGTTTGAAGTGTTCAGTTCGATGGGTTTTGACAATTGCACATACCCACGTCACCACCACTCAGAATGAGAGGTGAGTGTCCCTTTAATCAGTGCCTCCTCCCCACGCCCACACACAGAGGCAGCCGCAGTTACAATTTGTATTGCCGTTGATTAGTCTGGTTACAATTTGTATTGCCATTGATTAGTCTTCCCTGTTTGGGGACTTCACAGAATGGGGCCCTCTTTTGGGTCGGGCCCTGCTTGCTCAGCGTGGTGTTTGTAAGCTCCATCGCGGCTGTGACACGGTTTGGTAGCTCACTCCTGTTGACTGCTGAGCGCTATTCAATTGTATGAATGTAACAATCGCTTATTTACCAATTGCTTATTTGATAG